GCCAGCCATCCACTTGCTGGGGGCCCCCGCTGCCCCCAGCGCAGCAGCGGCAGCAGGGGCCCCCAGGGGCCCCCATGGGGGCCCCCTGGGGCCCCCTGGGGGGCCCCAGGGGGCCCCAGGGGCCCCCGGGGGGGCCCCATCATATTTGTTGACCTTTATATTTGTCAAGAGCAGCAGTTTGGTACATCTAGAAAAGCTTCATGCTGCAGCAGCTGCTGCTGCTGCTGCTGCTGCCTCGAAGCTCGAGGGGGGCCCCCCCGGCCGTGGGGCCCTAAACCCTAAACCCTTTTTAAGAGTTTAAAAGATCTTTGCCACTTTATGAATCTTTTTGCTGCTGCTCTTTTCCCAGCCCAAATGTGGGGCCCCAGAAGGCTGGGGGCCCCCCCCCTGGGCCCCTCTTTTGCTGCTGCGCTGCGGCTGTGGGGCCCCCCCCAGCCCTGGGGGCCCCCCCGCTCCCCAGTCCGAGGGCCAGGGGGCCCCCTGGGGGGCCCCCCATTGTCCCGAAGCCCCGCTGCTGCTGGCTGCGGGGCCTGGGGGGGCCCCCCTAGCCTGGGGGCCCCTGGGGGCCCCCCTGCAGCGCCGGGCATTGCCCCGCTTGCTGCCGCGGGGGGCCCCCCTGGAGCTGCTGGTGCTGGCGGCTTTGGGGGGCCCCTGGCGGGGGGCCCCTGGCGGGGGGCCCCGGGGGCCCCGGGGGCCCCGGGGGCCCCGGGGGGCCCCCGAAGAGGGTACTTCAGCCTGCCGGGGCCCCTGAAGTTGAAGGACATTGTGAAGTTGCCGCTGCTGGAAAAGAACTCCAAAGAAAGAATTGCAGAAATTTGGCTAAGTCATTTTCTTTCTTTCCCCGATCGCCACGGGGCTGTCCTCTCCAAGGCCCAATACGACATTTTGGAACCCAAGTGAGTCTTCCCTTAAAAGGGGGCCCCAAGGGGGGCCCCGGGGGGCCCCTGGGGGCCCCGGGGGGCCCCTAGGGGGCCCCCAAGGGGCCCCCGGGGGGCCCCCGGGGGCCCCCAAAAGGGCCCCCGGGATTGTTTAAAGAGTGGGCATTGCGAGGCTCGAACTCGCGACCTTGGGATTATGAGACCCACGCGCTACCGACTGCGCCAAACGCCCGGGGGCGCCTCCTAAACCCTAAACCCTAAACCCTAAACCCTAAACCCTAAACCCTAGGATTGCGCGTTGAGCGTAGCAGATAGACTTGAGAAAGCCAACTGAGTGGCTTTTGATTTTATTTTCTTTTTTGGGTCCTTTGGAGCGGCCTGGGGGCCCCGGGGGCCCCTGGTGAGTTGGGGTGTACGTACAGCTCGGGTGAGGTGTCTGTACACCTGAAAGCGCTGCAGCAGCAGCAAGCAGCAAATGAGCAGCAGCAAGATTTGCTGCTGCGCCGCTGGGGTGTATGTACAGCTGGCAGCAGGAGAGAGGGTGTGGGGCCCCGGGTGTCTGCACCGCCGCAGCCACAAAGCGCCTCTCACTGCCGCTGCTTCTGCGCTGCTGCTGCTGCGCTGCTGCTGCTGCTGCTGCTGCTGCTGCTGCAGCGCGCGGAACGCGCCAACGTTTGTGGCTCCGCTGCCGCGGGGCCCCGGGGCCTTTGAAATGCTATTAATTCAATTTCAAAGAAACTGCTGCTTCTTGACAAGTCTCGAGCAGTACAAACGCGTGAGTGCCCCTGCTGCGCCCCACAGCCCCCGCTGCTGCTGCTGCTGCTGTGCTGCCGCTGCTGTGCTGCTGCTGCTGTTTCCGTGGTGCTGCCGTGCTGCTGCTGCACCTGCGCTGCTGCTGCTGCGTGCAGTGCTGCTGCTGTGCTGGCGCTTGTGGCGCTGCTGCTGCTGCTGCTCCAACGCTGCTGCTGCTGCTGCTATTGCTGCTGCTGCTGCTGCTGCTGCTGCTGCTGCTGCTGCTCAGGGCCCGGAGAAGGCCTCGCCGCTGCTGGTGCTGACCTTTTTCGCGGAGCTGGCGGAGAGCCACGGGCTGGTGCTGGCCCGCGGCGAGCTGCTGCAGCCTGCTGCTGCTGCTGTGGGGCCCTGTGGGGCGCAGCACTTAACAAAGGTGGTTATTGAAAGCTACAGCAACCCCACCCGTTTTCGCTGGCCCCAGGCCTTCAACTTCGCCCCCGAGACCTTTTCCTTCGCCGATTTCCAGCAGCAAAACCCCGACTTCTTCGCCTTCCCCCTGCCCCCCAGGCCGCAGCAGCAGCAGCAGCAGCAGCAGCAGCAGCAGCAGCAGCAGAAGCGGGGGGCCCCGGGGGGCCCCTCGGTGCTCACTGAGCTCTGGCTGCCCTACACCTGAAGTTCAGGGGCCCCGCCGCCCCCTCCCCAGACCCAGCCCCCGAAGGCGCCACAAAGGGGGCCCCCAGCTGACTGCCAGGGGCCCCCTGGGGGCCCCCAGGGGGCCCCCAGGGGCCTCCTTAGGGGGCCCTTAGGGGGCCCCTTGGGGGCCCCCATAGGGGGCCCCAGGGGGGCCCTTGCTGCGACCCCTTGCAAGGCAAGTGAGGGCACTAACAGGCACTTGGGGGGCCCCATGGGGGCCCCCAAGGGGGCCCCTACACCCGTGGGGGCGCCTTTGGGGGCCCCCAAGGGGGCCCCCTGGGGGGGCCCCTGGGGGGCCCCCTGGGGGGCCCGCTAGGGGGCCCCTCGTAGGGTCCTGCTAGGGGCCCTTTAAAAGCTAGACTTGGGCACTGCGAACGGCGCAGGCGCGTTTGGCATTCGTTGCTGCTGCTGCGTAAGCTGCTGCTGCTGCTGCTGTGTGAGCAGCAGCTGCTGCTGCTGCTGCTGTACCTAGAGTTGGGCGGGCATTAATTGCTGCTGCAGCGCTACTTAAGTGTCTGCACACCCTAGAGAGTGCTGCTGCGCTGCTGCAGCAGGCCAGGAGGGGGAGGGGGCCCCTAGGGGCCCCCTGGCCCCAGGGGCCCCCGGGGGCCCCTCCCCAGCAGCCAGGGGGCCCCATAGGGCCCAAAGGCAGCTGCATCGAGAGCCCTAAGGTTTTGCTTCTGCGGCTGCTGCTGCAGCAGGGGCCCTCGGGCTTTATTTTGGCTGCTGCTGCTGCAGCAGGAAGCCTGCAGTGTCTGGTCTGCCGGGGGTGCTGCTCGCCGCGGGCGGCTACGCCCGCGCCCCTCAGCGGCGGCTTCAAAGCACTGTAAACCCTAAACCCTAAACCCTAAACCCTCGGGAAGTCTTCTGTGTTCAGTTTGCGTGCAAAAGCAAAGGCCCCGCCCGGCGGCCGCGAGTGGACCTGTTCGCTAGCGGGCTGGGCTCGCGATCGGCGGCCAAAAGTGGGCAATCCGAGGCGTTTTTGAGTTAAAATGAAGCAAAAATGCATTTAATTTGTCAGCAGCATTTAAAAAAGGGTTTTATTTGCAATTTAGCGGGCGATCTGAGCGCAAACGGGGCCTCCGAGAGCGCCCAGCCGCTGCAGCGGCTCGCCGGGGCCCCCATGACCAGCGCTGCCGCCTCTGTGGCGGATCTTGTTTGTGCGCCTTTAAGCTCCTTCTTTGCACCAATTAAGAGGCTTTTAATTTCTTTATTTTCTTCTATTTAAAGTCCTTTTGTCCTTTAACTGCAGCAGGAGAACGCCCGCCGCAGCCGAAGGTCCACTCACTGCCGCGGCAGCCGCGAGGCTCATCGGGCGTCGGCCGCGGCGCCCAGCGCCGCCGCTCCTCCCCTTTTGCCTTTTTCCCCTTTTCTTTCTTTTTTATTTCCAAAATTGCAAAAGAAAAGCCGAAAACTTCTCCAAAAAGTCCCTCGCAGAGGCCCTGGACGCGCAGCATGGAGCCCCCGGGCGCCGCGCCGTCGCCGGCGGCCGCGGCCGCTCCAAAGCAGCAGCAGCAGCAGCAGCAGCAGCAGCAGCAGCAGCAGCAGCAGCAGCGCAGCGACCGTCCAGCCCCCAGCCGGCTGCCTCGCTTGTCCGCCGCTGGGCATGGAGTCAAGAGCACCGGTGGGCCATCAGCGTCGCCAGCAGCAGCAGCAGCAGCAGGGCCTGCTGCTGCTGCTGCAGCGCGCCGCGGCGGCGGGGCCCCGTACCCTGGGGGCCCCCCGTCCTTGCCGCTGCCGCGGCCGAAGCCAACCTGCTCCGGACTGGAGGGGGCCCCCAGGGGAGGCCCCGCAGCAGCAGCAGCAGCAGCAGCAGCAGCAGCAGGTGACCAGTGGTCAGCTGGGAGCTGCTGCAGGCGGCGGCACTGTGGGGAGGCCCGGCAGTGCATTCCGGTGTATGCGCATACACCGCAGCTGTGCGCAAAGTCGCAGCAAATGATTCGGGTGTATCGACAGCAGCGGCTGCTGGAGCTGTGGGAGAAGCTGGACCCGCAGCAAGAAGAAGTTGCTGATTTGTTTTGTTTGCATGCAGTTGCTGCTGCGCTGCAGCAGCACGAGCGGCGCTTCCTGCAGGCGGTGGTGCCTGCGCTGGTGCAGCAGGCGGTTTGCTGCTGCAGCAGCGACGCAGCAGCAGCAGCAGACGGGGGCCCCTGGCTGCCCCCGCAGCTGGACCCTTTGCTGCAGCTGCATGCGCAAAACCCCACAAAAGAGGGCCCCGTCAAAATTGGGACTTCAGCTGCTGCTGCTGCTGCTGCTGCTGCTGCCGGGCGCGCGGAGGAGGCGGGCGAAGCGCTGCAGACGCCGCTGCAGCAGCAGCAGCAGCAGCAGCAGCAGCAGCAGCAAGCCGCGCAGCTCTTCCGACGCCTCGCAAGAGAAAGCGGACGCGCAGTTATGCTCGACGGAGACAAAGAAGCAGCAGATGCTTCAGCAGCACCTCACTTGTTTGTCCCCAAGTCTCTTTTTGTGTCTCTTTGCATGCAGCTGCTGCAGCAAGCTTTTGGCATTCCCGAGATAGATGCTTACAGAGACAAGCTCAGCCGCTGCTGCAGACAAGCTGCTGCTGCAGTGGACCCGCGAGCAGCAGCAGCAATCCCCAAGCCCCACGTCGAGGCCTTCGCCCGCAAGCTGCAGCAGCAGCAGCAGCAGCAGCAGCTGCTGCTGCTGCAGCAGCAGCAGCAGCAAACCGCCCGTCGCCGCACCCGCTCCCTCCCCCCCTGCGGAGACCCCACTTGCTGCTTCGAGGAGACCCAAAGAGCAGCAGCAAAACGCTGGACTCGCTTTGATGCCATTATCAGCAGATTTGTTCGCAAGCGGCAGCAGCAGCAGCAGCAGCAGCAGCAGCAGCTTTCCCTCAAGGAGCTCAGAGAGGCAGAGGACTGCACCTTCCACCCCGAAATCAACCCGACTCCCGCCCCGCTACCTCAAAAAGCGGCAGCAGCAGCTGCAGCAGCAGCTGCAGCAGCAGCAGCAGCAGCAGCAGCAGCAGCACGAGCTGCTGCCCACAGACCCCATGGCGATTTTTCGACAGTTCTGCAGCAGATATGTCCCCGATGACAGGTGCAGCAAATTGATGGCATCTTTAGAAGAATGTTCTTTCCAGCCAAACGCGTACAAGTGTGTGCAGCAGGAGCGGCGTCGGCAGCAGCAGCAGCAGCAGCAGCAGAAGCAGCAGCAGCAGCAGCAGCAGCAGGGGCCGCCCGGCTGCTGCGGCGGCGGAGAGGAAGCAACTGCTGCTGCTGTCGACGCCATCTTTGCAATGCTGGACTCTCCATTTGATGCTGTTTTTGAAGCAGATATAAAGCAGTGGCTGCAGCAGGACGAGCAGCAGGAGGAAGCAGCAGCAGCAGCAGCAGCAGCAGCAGACGGGGACGCAGCCAAGGCGAGGCTGCTGCGGCAGGCAAGACTTGCTGCTGCTGCACCTAAGAAGTGGCTGCTAGATGGCAGAGAGCCGCAGCACAGAGAACGGAGGCAGTGCCCCCGTTTGGCTCAGTGCTGCCTGGGGTTACCTGGGCAGCAGCAGCAGCAGCAGCAGCAGCAGCAGCAGCAGCAGCCAGTCATAGTGCTGGAGGCCCCAGCAGCAGCAGCGACGTCCCCCGAGAGCGCAGCAGCAACTGCGAGGTCCTTTGCCCGCAGCAGCAGCAGCAGCAGGGGCTGCCCGCAGCCTCCTCTTGTCCCCTACAGCTCTCGAACCACAAACCCTGTTGAAAAGTGAGACCCTCCAGCCTCAGAGTCCAGGGTTTAGGGTTTAGGGTTTAGGGTTTAGGGTTTAGGGTTTAGTGTGGGGAGTGTTCAAGCTGGGCGAGCAGGTGGTGAAAGGAATGTTTAGGGTTTAGGGTTTAGGCTTTGCTTGGGCGTTCCTTGTCTGGGCACGCGCGTGGAATGAAGGTTTAGGGTTTAGGGTTTAGGGTTTAGGGTTTAGGGTTTAGAGTTTACTGTTTCAGATGTTTGGGGCGTCCCTGGGCGGCGCTTGCGGGGTGGCACTTCGGAGCGCGGGTTTAGGGTTTATGGCTTAGGGTTCAGGACTAAGGGTTTAGGGTTTAGGGTTTAGGGTTCAGGACTAAGGGTTTAGGGTTTAGGGTTTAGGGTTTAGGGTTTAGGGTTTGTGCGTTGTTGGCAGGTGGAAGGAGGGTTTGCGGGGGGGTTACTTGCTGCCTTACTTGCGTTTTTCTTTGGAGAGAGAAGAAGCAAAAGAAAAACAAGAAAGAAGACTGGCAGTTCGCAAAGAAGACTGGAGTCGCTATATTAGGGTTTCGGGCAGGGGTTTGGAAACCCGCGCTTTGCCCCGCGAGGGTTTGCTCCACGACATCTGCAAAGAGCTCACCCAGCCCCAGCGTCAGCCTGCTGCTGCTGCTGCTGCTGCTGCTGATGCTGCTGCTGTTGCTGCTGTTGCTGCTGCTGCTTCTGGTGCTGTTTGTGTTGCTGTTGCTGCTGCTGCTGGTGGGTGCCTGGCGCTTGCAGCGTTGCTGCCGCTCTGCGTCTTTGCTTCCCGGGGCGGCTTCTGCTACTACTGCTGCTGCTGCTGCTACTTCTGCTGCTGCTGCTGCTACTTCTGCTGCTGCTGCTGCTGCTTGTTTTGCTGCTGACGCTCGCTGCTGCGCTGCGTCTCCTTTTGCTGCAGCTGCTCCTCCCCCCACACTTTGGGAGCACCGGCGGCGGCGGCGGCCTGGGCTGGACCGGGGCCCGGACTGCCGTACGTACACCGCAGCAGCAGCAGCAGCAGCAGCAGCAGCAGCGGGAGAAAGCAGCAGCTACGCAGCGGCCCTGCTGCGCTCCGCCGACGCAGCAGACTGCAGCAGCAGCAGCAGCAGCAGCAGCGCTGCTGCAGCGCCGACTGTCTTTACAGTGCCGACGCCGCCGAGGCGCCAGGAGCTGCGGGACAGCCACCAGCTGTACGTACAGCTGGCAGCAGAAGCAGCAGCAGGAGCTCTCAAACTTCCTCCGAAAGTTGTGGGAGTCAAAAAAGATAAATTTAAATATTTGGAAAGTCAACTCGCCAAACTCCAGCCCCCCCTCATCGTCTGTCCAGACACCCCGAACTAGCCCTCCTCTCCGGTGTACGTACACCCCGACGCAGGCGCTGAGGTGTACAGGCACCTCGCAGGTGTACGTACACCGCACCAGCAGCAGCAGCAGCAGCAGCAGCAGCAGCAGCAACAGCAGCAGCAAGTTAAGCTGTGCGGACGCCCCAAGCGACTTGAGGTGTACGGACACTCGCGGAAGCTGAATGAGCTCCAGCCAATTCGCGGGGTGTATGTACACCTCAGTTCTCTTCAGGTGTCTGTTTACACCCCTGCAGTTTCAAGTGTATGTACACCCCAGAGGACTTGCGGTGTATGTACACCCCAGTGGATTTGAAGTTTGTGTAAACGTGAATTTGAAGTGTCTGTACACCCAAGTGCATTCGGGCTGTATGTGCACCCCAGTGGATTTGAGGTGTATGTACACTCCAAGATTTAAAGTGTATGTGCACCCCAGTCGATCTGGGGTGTATGTACACCCCAGTGTGTTTGGAGTGTACTTGAATTTGGGGTGTATGTACAGTGAATTTGGGGTGTATGTACAGTGTTTTTAGGGTGTATGTACACCCCAGTAAATTTGGGGTGTACGTACACCCCAGTGAACTTGGGGTGTACGTACACCTCAGTGAATTTGGGGTGTATGTACACCCCAGTGAACTTGGGGTGTATGTACACCCCAGTCAATCTGGGGTGTATGTACACCCCAGTGAATTTCGGGTGTATGTACACCCCAGTAAACTTGGGGTGTATGTACACCCCAGTGCATTTGGGGTGTATGTACACCCCCGTTAGTTTTAGGTGTACGTACACCGCAGCAGATTTGGGGTGTACGTACAGGTCAGTTGCACCGAAAGCGGCTTCTGCGGGGTCTGTGGCCTTTTGCATTTTCTTTTTTTTCCGCTTTCCACTTTGTCGTTTTGGCATTTTAAGAGTTTCAATTTGAGTCGGTCTTTGTCTGAAGAGCCGCTCGCTCCAGGGGAGGCGGGCCTAGGGTTTAGGGTTTAGGGTTTAGGGTTTAGCGGCTCGGCCACTATTTGTTTCTCTTTTCCTTGTTTTTGTTTTGGAGACAAAAAGACAGCTACAGACGTTCCCAAACAAAGAATAAGAGTCAGAGTGTTTCTCACTAGAGTCCCTATCTGCAGCAGCAGCTGCTGCTGCAGCAGCAGCTGCTGCTGCTGCAGCAACAGCTGCTGCTGCTGCTGAAGCAACAGCTGCTGCGACAAGAGCTTCTGCTGCAGCGCATTGCAGCAGCACTGCAGCGGGGCTTCCATTTTTAGGCATCGCGCCGCCCACGCGCTGCTGCTGCCCTGGCAGCAGCAGCAGCAACGGCAGCAGCAGCAGCAGCAAAAGCAGCAGCAGCAGCAGCAGCAGCAGCAGCCGACTAGCAGCAACTCAAGGAAAGGGACTCTAGGGTGTCTGTACACTTCAGTTCAGGACGCAGCTGTTGTCTCCGGCTCCCTCCAGAAGAGCAGCAGCTCTTTGTATCCCTCGGAAAGGGTTTAGGGTTTAGGGTTTAGGGTTTAGGGTTTGCTGCTGCTCGAAAGGAGACCCAAGTCCCTCGCCGTGGTGCCCGTGGGAGAAACCCCTTCTGCCTGCGCCGCAGCAAAAGGAGCCATTTCAAAAGCGTCTCCTTTTGCTGCTGTTGCTGCTGCTGCTGCTGCTTGCTGCAGTTTCTTTGCTGCTGCTTCGAAGCATTTAGTATTTGAATCAAATGTTTAAAAACATTTAAATCCAATTCAAATTATTTATTTGACTCAAAAGCTGTTTCTTTGGATCCTTTTGAAGCAAACAAACCACCAAGACACACGCAGTCTTCTGCTGTGCTCAGTGGTGCTGCTGCTGCTGCTGCTGCTGCTGCTGCTGCTACTTCTACTGCTGCTACTGCTTTAGCTGCTACTGCTGCTGCTGCTTCGCTGCCGCTGCTATCGCCTCATCTGCTGCTGCTGCCGCTTCTTTGCTGCTGCTGCTACTGCTGCTGCTGCTGCTACTGCTGCTGCTGCTGCTGCTACTGCTGCTGCTGCTGCTACTGCTGCTGCTGCTGCTGCTGCAGCACCTGCATGTGTCTTCTGAAGATTCCGTGGATGGCCCTGCTGTCGCTCTCGACGCTGGCAATGGCCTCGTGGAGTCTTTGCTTCTCGAGCTGCAGCCCCTCGACTTCTTCGCACAGCTGCTGCACTTCAGCCCGCAGCGTCCCGGCTTCTTGCTGCGCTGCTGCAGCACGTGACCTGCAGCAGCAGCAGCAGCAGCAGCAGCAGCAGCAGCAGCAGCAGCAGCAGCAGCAGAGCAGGGGGGGAGCGTGAGCTGCTGGGGCTCCGCCTCGCTGTGCAGGCGGCCCCGGCGGCGACGGCCGGCAGCAGGAGATACGGGAAAAGGAGCAGCAGCAGCAGCAGTAGCAGCAGCAGCTGCTGCTGCTGTTGTAGCAGCAGCAGCTGCTGCTGCTGCTGCTGCAAAGGAAAGAAAGCGAGTAAGACTAGAAGGAGACAAGAGGAAAGACGAAGACAGCGGGAAAAGAAAAGCAGCATTTGGTGCATGAGCAGCAAATAAACAAATTCTGAAATAAGAGAGGAGAAATGAATGATAGAAAATAAATAAATAAATAAATAAATAAATAAATAAATAAATAAATAAATAAATAAAATATAAGCAAATAAATAAAATCCAACAAGGCATGCTTAAAAACAAGTGAGTCATCATAGTCGAGGCAAAACAGAAACGAATAGAGTCGAGACAGACGAATGCAGACAGAGAGCAGCAGCAGCAAGGCAGCAGCAGCAGCAGCAAGGCAGCAGCAGCAGCAGCAAGGCAGCAGCAGCAGCAGCAAGGCAGCAGCAGCAGCAGCAGGGCAGCGACGGAGCTCCACGAGCAGCAGAAATTTAAAGCTAGTGAACTCAGGCGCCAGCAAAGCAACCATGCGCGTTGCTGCCGCTGTTTTCCGCTGCTGCTGCTGCTGTTGCTGCTGCTGCTGCAGCAGCAGCAGCAGCAGCTGCTGCTGCTGCTGCTCACCTCAGCATGTGCGAGTCATGTGCATATTTCTCTTCGGTGTCTCTCAGCTGCTGCCGCAGCCGCCGCGCCTCCGTTTCCGTCTCACGCCGCAGCCGGTCAGTTCTGTCAGCAGCAGCAGCAGCAACAGCAGCAGCAGCAGCAGCAAGAGCAGCAGCAACAACAATAACGACAGCAATAAATGCGGCGGCAGCAGCAGCAGCAAATGCAGCAGCAGGAGGAGCAGCCGCGACAACAAAAGCAGCAGCAGAAGATGCAGCGGCAGCAGCGACAAAAGCAGCAGCAACAAACGCAGCAGCAAAAGTAGCAGCAGCAGCAGCAGCAGCAGCAGCAGCAGCAAATATGGCTGAGATGCCCATATCTGAGTTTGAAAACCCTAAACCCTAGGAGGCTGAGATGCCCATATCTGAGTTTGAAAACCCTAAACCCTAGGAGCAGCAGCTGAGCTGTGCATGTCTTTTCTGTATCTCTTTTTCTTTTTTTTCTTTTTATTATATTTTATTTCTTTTATCTCTTTTTGTCTCTTTTGTTTTTTTTCATTTGTGTCTTTGTCTATTTGTCTCCTCCGTGCTTCTCTTCCTTCTGCTGCTGTCCTTCGACGTTTTGCTTCTGCTCTCCTTGCAGCAGCAGCAGCAGCAGCAGCAGCAGCGGCAGCAGCAGCAGCAGCAGCAGCAGCAGTTTGCTTGCCTTGATTTGTAGTCTTCTCTGAGTCGAGTCTCCAGCTGCTGCCTCTCAGCAGCAGCAAGAGACTTTGCTTCCAGCATGTCGTTCTCGTGCTGCCGCCTCTCCTGCTGCAGCTGCTGCTGCAGCTGCTGCTGCAGCTGCTGCTGCTCTGCCCTCTCCAGCGCATTTTGCTTCTGCGAAGCTCAGCAGCAGAAGCAAATGCAGCGGCAACTTATGCAGCAGCAGCAAACGCGTGAGCAGCAGCAGCAAGAACCTACCTATGGACAGCAGCAGCAGGTACATAAGCAACAAAAGCAGCAGCAGCAGCAGCAGCAGCAGACACAGCGCATACTCTAGCAGCAGCAGCAGTAAAAAAGCAGCAGCGGGAGCGACACAGAGAAAAACAGCAGAGGCACCAACTACATCCGAAGCAGCAGCAGCAGCAGCAGCAGCAGCAGCAGAAGCAGCAGCAGCAGCAGCAGCAAGTCAGGCGCCAGCAGCACGAGCAATCGCCGGACCTTCAGCAGCAACGGCGAACGCAGCAGCAATTACAGCTACACATGCAGCAGCAAGCGCAGCAGCATCAGCAGTGAGAAGAGCACAGACAGCAGCAGCAGCTGCTGCTGAAAAAGCACCAGCAGCACCAGCGCAGCAGCAGCAGAAGGAGCAGCAACAAGAAGAACAACAAAGACAGCAGCATTAAAAGCAGCAGCAACAACAACTACAAGAACATCGGCAGCAGCAGCAGCAGGGCACTTCAGCGCTAGAAGAACAGCAGCAGCAGCAGCAGCAGCAGCAGCAGCAGCAGCAGCAGCACAAGCAGCAGCAGCAGCAGCAGCAGCAGCAGCAGCAGCGCACTTCAGCGTCTGCTGCCTTCGCTTCAAGCCTTCTAAGAAGTCCCTTGGAGGTTTCCAGCTCTTCCTCCCGAGCAGCAAGATGAGCTTCTAAAGATAACTTCGTGCTGAAGACACAGACGCACAGCTGCTGCTGCTGCTGCTGCTGCTGCTGCTGCTGCTGCTGCTGCTGCTGCTGCTGCTGCTGGCAAATGGAACTAGAGTCACAGTCTCAAGCGCAGCAAATGCAGCGATTATTATTCTGCAGCAGCAGCTGCTGCTGGCGCTGCTGCTGCAGCTGCTGCTGCAGCTGCTGCTGCGGCTGCTGCTGCTGCTTCTGCTGCTGCTGCTCCTGCTGCTACCAAAAGTGGTTCGGGAGGATCAGCAAGTGCAGCCCACTCTTCCAGAATGCGCAGTTGCTCGTCGAATCTGCGAAAGGCAAATAAACTCTAAGCGCTAAACCCTAAACCCTAAACCCTAATCCCAACCCTAAACCCTAAACCCTCTCCCCTCAACCCTGCATCTGCAAATGTCGACCCATGGCACTCTGCAGACCCTCTTGAACTCACTGGCCCGTAGCACCATAGGGTTTAGGGTTTAGGGTTTAGGGTTTAGCGCGTAGGTCCGAGGGCCTAGGGTTTAGGGTTTAGGGTTTAGGGTTTAGGGTTTAGGGTTTAGGGGTTAGGGTTTAGGGTTTGACCTGGCTTTGCACTGCTGCTCCCTGTCTCTGCAGGCGCGTTCGAAGGCGCCTTCGACGGCCTGGCGAAGTTCTGGCAAAGAAGAATTTAAAAGAAAAGAAAAAGTTCTATTTGTTTCAAATTCCATTTCTGCTTCTCTTCCTTTTGCTGCTGCTGCTGCTGCTGCTGCTGCTGCGCTGCACAGGCAGCAGCACCGCCACAGCTCCAGCAGCCGGCAACGCACGCGCCCGCACTCCTCAGACGCCTGCACTCCAAACCCTAAACCCTAAACCCTAAACCCTAAACCCTAAACCCTAAACCCTAAACCCTAAACCCTAGCGCGGACACCGAACAGTGATGCTACACGGGGTAAATGCTAAGCGCTTGACTGAACACTAGAAATGTAAAACCCGAAAAGTGCACCCTGAACCCTAAACCCTAAACCCTAAACCCTAAACCCTAAACCCTAAACTCTAAACCCTAGACTCTAAACCCTAGGTAGGCGCCCTTTACACAAGCCCTAAGCCCGAAACCAGAAATCGTGTATACTAGCCACCAAAAAACAAACCCTAAACCCTAAACCCTAAACCCTAAACCCTAAACCCTAAACCCTAAACCCTAAACACACACACGGCCAAACCCTAGCCCCTGCTGCGCAGCAAGCCATCCCCGCGGTAGTCGCGCCCAACGGCTTTGGGCCAAAGGCCAAAGGGCCAGTAGGCCCTAGGGTTTAGGGTTTAGGGTTTAGGGTTTAGGGTTTAGGGTTTACTTTTGTGTGTTCGATCTGGAGGTGGCTGAGCCTGTGGTGGAGGGTTTCCTTCTCGCGGGCCAAAGCCCTCGCTAGGGTTTGGCTTTCTTCAAGGGCCCTTCGGGTTTCTTCCATTTGCTGCTGCTGCTGCTGCTGCCGATGTGCTGCTGCTTCTGCTTCGCTGGCCAAAGCCCCCTTTTCCTGCTGCAGCAGCGACAGCTGCTGCTGCAGCTCAGACAGCCGCTGCTGCTGGCAGCTTTGCTCTTCCAGCGAGCCTTGCAGGCGGCCCTCGAGTTCCTGCGCGCCCTCGCAGCTAGGGTTTAGGGTTTAGGGTTTAGGGTTTAGGGTTTGAGGGCCTGGCGGCTCCTCACGGGTGTGCAACTCCAACTTTAGCGAAAAGCAGCATTTAATGTAAAATGCAAATGTCTGAAAATAAATATTTTTTATTTTTCGAAAAAGATTTTAACTCGAAGTCAAATTGCAAATCAGTGAGGCCCGTGCGGTGTACGTACACCTGCGAGGTGTACGTACACTCTGCTGCATGCGTTTCGTTCTCAAGTGCAAATTTAATAATTCTTTTTTCGCGTTAATTATATTTATTTGTTGCAGTTTGTTTCATTTATTCTTTATTCTTTTATTTTACTTTATTTATCTGCATGCAAGTCAAACAAATTCCAAAAATCCATTTTCAACTTTTGCTGCCAAGTGTAAAGACACTGAAGCTCATGCTGCAGCCCAAAAGCAAAAGCCCCAAAAGTGCCATTTGTGGGGCCCCACTTTGCATGCGCATGCAATGTGCATGCAATGTGCATGCAGTGCGCATGCAATGTGCATGCAATGTGCATGCAGTGTGCATGCAATGTGCATGCAGGGCTTTTGCAAGGAGTGCATGCAGCAGGTCGTGAAGACAAACAAAGAATAAATAAATCCGCTTCTGGCACGCATGCATGCATGCAAAAACACTTTTTTTGCATTTGGGGCTTTTGCATGCATGCATGCATGCATGCATGCAAAACACCTTTTATTTGCTCTGGGGGCTTTTGCATGCATGCAAATTTGCAGTTTCTCTAAAAGACAATATTGCAGCAGACTTGCGCATGCATGCATCTGTGCTGCAGCAATTCAAAAAATATCCTTTTAGCATTTATTTATTCCTATTATTATTATTGTTAGATTTGTTTTAGTTTATTTAATCTTATTTGATTTTACTTTATTATATTATATTATATTATATTATATTATGTTATATTATATTATATTATATTGTATCATATTATATTATATTATATTATATTATATTACATCATATTATATTACATTATATTATATTATATTATATTATATTATATTGTATTATATTATATTATATTATATTATACTGTATTATGTTATATTGTATTTTGTTTTTTTTATTTTATTTTATTTTATTTTATTTTTCTTTGCAAAATGCATTTAAATGGTAAATGAATGAAGCGAAAGTGCAAAGAAACCCAAGCCGTAAACCCTAAACCCTAAACCCCCAACCCCAAACCCCAAACCCTAAACCCCCAACCGCAAGCCCCAAACCCTAAACCCCATCCCCTAAACTCCAAACCCTCCCCCCCAAGCCCCAAACCCCAAACCCTAAACCCTAGGCGCGGACTCCAAGTCCTCCCCCCAAACCCCAAACCCTAAACCCTAAACCCTAAACCCTAGGCGCGAGGTGTCTGTACAGCTGGGGCTGCGGGGTGTACGTACACCCGAAGACTCACTCCGATTTGCATTTTGTCTTTTCTGGAAAGTGCTTTTACTCTTCCTAAAGTGGCAGCAGTTTCTTCGAGTCTTTTAATTAAAGACTCAGATTGTCTTCTTTGTTTTGCTGCTTCTTCTTCCCGCTGCAGCAGCCGCTGCTGCAGCAGCTCCGTCTCCTGGCCGTGCGCAACGCGCAACTCCTCCCTGAGATCCCACAAACCCTAAACCCTAAACCCTAAACCCTAAACCCTAAACCCTAAACCCTAGACCCTAAACCTTAAGCCCTAAACCCTAAACCCTAGACCCGAAATCCGAAACCCTGAACCCTAAACCCAAACCCTAAACCCCTAAGACTAAACTCCAATCCCTAAACCCTAAACCCTAAACCCTAAACCCTAAACCCCACGCCCGAAACCCTAAACCCTAGGCCCGAAACCCTAGACCCTGATTCCGAGGGCCCAGACTCCAGACCCGAAACATAAACCCTTAACCCAAGAGCCCAGACCTTAAACCCTAAACCCTAAACCCTTAACCCAAGAGCCTAGACCTTAAACCCTAAACCCTAATCCCTAAACCCTAAGGTGCCATTTGCATGCAAAAGAATGAAGCGGGGCCCTAACTGCTGCTGCCTCTGTAGACATAAGGGTCTGAGGGGCCCCACAGTTTAGGGTTTAGGGTTTAGGGTTTAGGGTTTAGGGTTTAGGGACTCGCCTGAGGGCCTCCAGGGCCCTGCGTCTCTCATCTGCTGCCATTCTGAGGGTGTCTTCTTGCTGCTGCGCTGCTTGCTGCTGCAGCGAGCGCAGCCGAGCTTCCCAATCTGCTGCTGCTGCTGCTGCTGCTGCAGTTAAAGACCTTCGAGTTTCTGCTGCTTCTTCCTGCATCCCTTCTAGCGCCTGCGACAGCCGCTGGCACTCCGCCTTCTGCGACTCCCGCGCCTGCGCGCCCCAAACCCTAAACCCTAAACCCTAACTCCTAAACCCTAAACCCTAAACCCTAACTCCTAAACCCTAAACCCTAAACCCTCAAATGGGGACCCGGAAACGGAGTCGCGGGACATCTGCTACCAGCCATCTGCACAGGGAGCGCTATTCTATATTTCTTGTTGAAAGGTTAAAAAGTTTTAATTCTGTGCTTAGGGTTTAGGGTTTAGGGTTTAGGGTTTAGGGTTTAGGTTTGGGACGCATCAAGGAGGAAAAGAGAGAGACAAAGCAAGCGCTTTAACCTAGAGTGCAGGACTAAGGGTTTTGAGTTTAGGGAGGGTTTAGGGTTTGGGGTTTAGGGTTTAGGGTTTAGGGTTTAGGGTTTAGGGTTTAGGGTTTAGGGTTTGGGGTTTGTGGCGGACTGCGAGTTCGTTTTGTAGCTGCTGCTTGTGTCTGTGGCAGTCCCTCTTGAGGGTTTCTGCTTCTGCTTCCTTTGCATGCAGCTGCAGCCGCAAACTTTCTGCTTCTTGATTTGCTGCTGCTGCTGCTTGCCGCAGCCGCTGCTGCTCCAGTTCGCCTTCGGCCTTTTCGGACTTCAGCTGCGACACCCTCACCTGCACGCACACACACGCAGCCGCTGCTGCTGCTGCTGCTGCTGCTGCTGCTGCTGCTGTTGCTGCTGTTGCTGCTGTTGCTGCGCTTGCTGCTGCTGCTGTTACTGCTGCTGCTGCGCTTGCTGCTGCTGCTGCTGTTGCTGCGTTTGCTGCTGCTGCTGCTGTTACTGCTGTTGCTGCGCTTGCTGCTGCTGCTGCTGCTGCGGTTGCTGATGCTGTGGCTGCTGCTGCTGAGACTGCTGTTGCTGCTGCTGGTAATGAGAGCTGCAGCCATAGCCACGTGCGCAACAAACCCAGTGGCTATTAGGCTGCTGCTGCTGCTGCTGCTGCTGCTGCGGCTATTGCTCCTGCTGCTGCCTGTCCTGGTAGTGGTAGTAATGCTACTGATTTTGCTGCTGCTGCTGCTGCTGTTGCTGGAACTCATTATGGACACCCGCAGCAAACCCTCTACGCCGTCGCAGCAGCAGCAGCTGCTGCGAGGGTTTAGGGAGTTGGCTGAAGGTGTGCTGCATCTCGAGCCGAAACACTCTTTAGGGTTTAGGGTTTAGGGTTTAGGGTTTAGGGTTTAGGGTTTGTGCAGCAGCAGCAGCAGCAGCAGCAGAAGCAGCAGCAGCAGCAGCAGCAGCAGCAGCAGCAGCAGGGGCAACAGGGGCAACAGCAGTGGCAGCAAGAGGCGTTTGGGAGTGGCCGCTGCTCTGGCGGCCGCAGTGGGCTGTGGCGGTGAGGTCTAGGGTTTAGGGTTTAGGGTTTAGGGTTTAGGGTTTAGGGTTTGTCTTGCCTCCTTCTGCAGACGGCCAGCTCCCCCTTAAGGCTGGCTATTTCTGCTGTTTGTTCAGAGCATTGCTGCTGCAGCTCCCTCAGCTCTCTGCAGCAGCAGCCAAACCCTCAGCCCCACACAAACTTCTAATTCTCTTGAAGAATCTTTGGGGCCCCCCAGGGGGCCCCCAGGGGGCCCCCAGGGGGCCCCCAGGGGCCCCCTAGGAACCGTTGGAGCCTGCAGAGTACCCTAATGGCCTTTCAAACAACTCTCGGGAACCCCGGAGGGCCCCCGGGGGCAGCAGCAGCAGCAGCAGCAGCAGCAAGAGCAGCAGCAGCAGCAGCTAAAAGCCCCTGGGGGCCCCAGGCGCTTTTACGGCCTTTGCCCTCGTTTGGGGCCCCAAGGGGCCTCTCAAGCCACTTGAGCAGCAGCAGCAGCAGCAGCAGCATCAGCAGCAGCAGCAGCAGCAGCAGCACGACCCCCTCACCACCAGCACCACCACCACCATCAGCAAGACGCCCATCCCCAGCAGCAGCAGCAGCAGCAGCAGCAGCAGCAGCAGCAGCAGCAGCAGCGGGAGTTGGCTTGCCTGAGGAGACTTTTGAGTTCGTTGCCGCTGCCTTTTGCTGCTTCGACAGAGGCCTGGACAAGAGCCTCTTTGTGGCGGATGTCAGTAAGAAGAGATCTTTCACTTGCTTCCAAAGAAGCAACTCGCTGCTGCAGCGCAGCAAGTTCTTTCGAGCCTGCAGCAGCAGCAGCAGCAGCAGCAGCAGCAGCAGCGCCGCTTGGCAGACACCCGCAGGGCCCGTGCCCTGAGCAGCAAAGGCAACAGCCGCAGCCAAACAAACTGCCAGCCGCTCGCACTTTCCTGCTGCTGCTGCTGCCGCTGCTGCTGCTGCTGCTGCTGCTGCTGCTTCTGCTGCTGCTGCTGCTTAGGGAGATCAGGGAGAGAGAGGAAGCAAAAAGAAGCGGAGGAGGAGAAGGGAAATAAACAAAAGACACAAAAGAGAAAATAGGAGAAGCAAAAAGGAAACAAAGGAGACAAAACAAAAGGATAAAAGAAACAAAAAAGGCAAAAAATGCAGAAAAAAGACAAAAAAGATGAAAAAAAGAAACCAAAGAGAGCATTCAAGGAAGCCAAAAAGGAGAAAATAAAAAGATAAAAAGGAGAAAAAGGATCGATTAAAAGGGAGACAAAGAGAGACTAAAAAGGAGACAAAAAGGAATCCAAAAAGGTCCAAAAAAAGATCCAAAAAGATCAAAAAAGATCAAAAAAGATCAAAAAAGAGACACAAATTGAGCGCTCACGGCCACAAAATGCTTCGCCCAATCTGCTGCTGCTGCCTCTGTCGAGGCTGCTGGAGGAGCGCCGCAGAAGTCCGCGGGGGTGGTGGTGCGGCACGCGGCCAAACCCCTGCAGCAGCAGCAGCAGCAGCAGCAGCAGCAGCAGCAGCAGCAGCAGCGGTGGCAAGGGGGGGGGTGGGAGCAGCAGCAGCAGCAAGGGGGGAGTGGCAGCAGCAGCAGCAGAAGCGGCGGCTGATACGGCAGCGGAGGCTGCTGCGCAGGCAGCAGCAGCACGGAGGCCCGGGGAGAGCAGCAGCAGCAGCAGCAGCAGCAGCAGCAGCAGCGGGGGCCGACAGCAGCAAGGGCAGCAAGAGCAGCGGCAGCAGCAGTAGCAGCTGCTGCTGCTGTTCCAGGGGAAGTTCGTTTTGCTTACATCGCGGGATCGCGAATGCAGAGGACACTGGTCCTGTGTACACACCTAAACCCTAAACCCTAAACCCTAAACCCTAAACCCTAAACCCTAAACCCTAAACCCTAGTGAGTTAGCGGTGTAGATCTGTTGAGTAGTTTTCTTAGCGCAGAATCAGAATCAGCAGCAGCAGCAGCAGCAGCAGGTGCTCCGTGTAGCTCTAACTGATGCCCTACTTATCTCATTATATATATATATATATTTACATATATGTATATATATATACTTTTCTATGATTGCAAAAGTATATTTAGAAACAAAAAAATCATTTTATTTATATTTTATAAATCTTTTTAAAAGTGTTTCCCTGAAAAGGCGCAGCAGCCCCTGCGTGCGCAGCTCCGCGGTGTCTGTACACCTCAGCAGAACCTTCTCTTTGTTTGCCGCCGCATTCGATTTAAAAATGAAAAATGAAAATATATTTTTATTTCATTTGCATCTAGAGGGCACTATAGAGTTTATTTATTGAGAATAATATTTTTATTTTTTGCTTTTTGTCCTTCTGGGCCATTTAAAGTCTACATAAATCAACAAGTATATTTTATAAGTAAAATGGCCCAAAGTTATCTTTTAGACTAAATATACATATATGTATGTCTATGTATATATCTATTTATATATGTGTATTCATATATATATGTATATATATCTATGTATAAGTATATATATTTACGTATATACATATATATATATATAGATGTATATATATATATATATAGATGTATATATATATATGTATATATATACATATATATATACATATGCACACATATATATATATATATATACACATTTATATAAAAATATATATACATATATATATGTATTTACATATAAATACTAATTAAAATATATTAACACTCTTTAATCCAAAGAATCCCCACTGCATATTTATGTAAATATATACATACATATATATGTGTATATCTATATATATGGTAAGTAAAATATATATATATTCTTTAATCCAAACATTCCACACTACATATTTGTATAAATATATACATGCATATATATATATATATAAATAGTAAGTAAAATATATTTATATACTTTAATCCAAACAATCTACACTTCCACATATTACTTGAAAATCAGGAATTTAATCCAATAATGTTTATATTCACTCCTGCTCTAATTTGCACTTGTGTGTCTTTTTAATTATTTTTTTATAATTCAATAAATGCATATGTTAGCAAATACCCCGTAGAGTTGGTGGGAATTAGTTAAATATATATGTATTTATTTTATTTATTTATTTATTTATTTGTATTTATTTATTTTTGTTTATTTATTTATTTATCTGTCAATGCTGTTTTATTTGACGCTGTGTTTACTTTATATTTATTTCCACTTTATTCTTTTGTTGCATGCATTTCTTTATATGCATGCAATCCACTGGCAGGCAGTAATAAGCGAATGTTATTATTAAATGGAATTTATTTAGAAATAAAATTAAAGATAATAATAAATAAAAAAGGTAAAATCGATTTTAAAAATGGAATTTAATTTGAAATAATAATAACTATAATAATAAATAAAAACAATAAAAAGGCAAAAGCGATTTAGTAAAAGGAATTTATTTAGAAATAACACAAAAATAATAATAAAAACAATTAAAGAGTAAAATCGATTTAATAAATGGAATTTAATTAGAAGTAACACCAAAATAATAATAAATAAAAACAATTAAAAAGTAAAATCGGTTTAAAAGTACTTACAGCCAAAAGTCACTCTTGGGGTGTACGTACAGCTGCGTGTGCTCTTAAGCGCAGCTGTATTTCTTCCTTCTGGTACAAATTGATATGAATATAAATATAAATATAAATATAAATATAAATATAAATATAAATATAGTTATTAATATTAATAACATTAATATGAATACTAATATTCATATTGACACTAATATTAATGTTAATGTAAATATTAATGCTAATATTAATATTAGTACTACTATTACTATTAATATTAATATTAATATTGATATTAATATTGACATTGGTACTTATGTTTATATTAGTTTTTATTTGTAAGCAAAGATAAATATATGTACAAGTATTAATATAATAGTACATACACAGCGCTGCTGCACTTGAAGACAAAATTCTACTTTTTTGTTTTTAGAAAAATGAAAAGCCAAAAGGGACCACAGACAGCAACTCAGGTGTCTAGACAGCTCACGCGAGCTGTGGGGCCCCCAAAAAGACCCTCTGAACAAACCCGGGTTTAGGGGGGCCCCCAGGGGGCCCCCTCAAGGGGCCCCCCTAAGGGGCCCCCAGGGGGCCCCCCCAAACCCTAAGGAGGCCCTGAGGGGCCTTAAGAGCTGCGCAAGGCGCCCCCATGGGGCCCCTTGAGGCCAGATGGTACTTCTAGATGGCAACAGAGGCGCAGCGGGGGCCCCCTGGGGGCCCCTCCGAGCAAGCCCCAAAACGCATGCAGAGGGGCCCCCAAAGGGCCCTCAATAGGGCCCCCGGGGCCCCCAAAGGGCCCTCAGTAGAACCCCGGGGGCCCCCAAAAAGGCAAGGCTTAAGGAGGGCCCCCCAAAGACCCCCAAATAAACCCCACAGGGGCCCCCTTGCAGGGGCCCCCACAGGGGCCTCCACATAACTCCCCACAGGGGCCCCTTCACAGGGGCCCTCAAGGGGCCCCCACAGGGGCCCCCTAAGGGGCCCCAGAGGCCCATAAGTACCCTCTGGGAAAAGGCAGGGGGGCCCCCTTGGAGCTGCTGCTGGGGGCAAAGAAGACAGCAGTTTTGTGACATTAAAGGGAGCAGCAGGTTTGTGGAAAAGCTGCTTTTGTTTGGAAATAAAAAGAAAATAAAAAGAGAAAAAAAATAATAAAAAAAATAAAACTAAAAGAGATAAAAGGAGGCACGCGGGGCCAGCCGCGAAGAGGCTTTTCCTCCCCCTAGAAAGCGAGGAAAAGAAAACAAAAAAAGACAAAAAGAAATAAAAATAAAAAACAAAAAGAGGAAAATAAAGACAAAAAAGATAAAGAATAAAAGAGACAAAAAGCGAGAACTGGAGACAAAAGAAGAAACAAAAGGAGGCAATGGGGGCCCCAAAAGACAAAAAAAGATAAAAAGACAAAAAAGATAAAAAGACAAAAATGATAAAAGACAAAAATGATAAAAAGACAAAAAAGGGGCTTTGAAGAAACGGCTGGCTGCATCAGCTGAGGTGTACATACACCTGAAGCACCACAGCCAAGCCCAAACTGCCTCCGCCAGTTCCGCCATTAATGCATTTTGCATGCATGCAACTAATTGCATGCATGCAGTTAATTGCATGCATGCAATTAATTGCATGCATTTTGCATGCGTGCAAATGAAAATACGAAACAAGCAAAGAACAAATCTATTTGTGAAATAAATAACAATTTAGAAAATGCATTTTAAGCATTAATGCACAAATGGATAAACATTTCGAAATATATAAATATATAATTATATGCAGATATATGCTAGTGGGTACACACAGCAAGCACCAATAAATAACATTATTTATCTATAATAAATAATACTTATATCTATATATATATATGAATATATGTATACTATAAATATACTATATATGTTGTATATATTATATATATTTTATATATTATTATTTATATTATATATTATTTATATATATTATATATATTGTATATATTATATATACTGATATAAGTATATGTTATAAATGATGTACAAAAGTAATAAAGAGTTAAAGTGCAAACTTGAAAAGATGAAATGAACAGAGCGCATGCAAAGGGCACTTAAAAACAAACAAATCCAGCGCATGCAATAAAGGCATTTGGAGGAAAAGAGGCGAAAACGGAGGCAAAAAAAGCGGAAAAAGCATTAAAATGCATTTCCTGAAAAGCTCTATTTCAGGAGAATGTCTGGAGAAAAAAAAGCGCTTTCAAAGGACACTTTAATCTCCAAAAACCACAAAATATAAATGCCGATGTCTTCGGGGCCCCACAGCCTGGGCTGCGCGGGGTGTACGTACACCCCAGCGCCCGCTGGGGTGTACGTACACCTCCGGCTGCGCGCCTTCTTCTTTTTTCATTCTTTCACATTTAAATTAATTGCTTTTCTAGGGTGATGGACAATCCCCATAAAACGCTCTCGAGCCCAGCTCAGGGCCCTCGCCCCGCTTCTTCTTCTGTCTCCTTTTCTCTTCTCGCTGGGCCCCACAGTTGTTTCAGACCCCCAGGGGGCCCCGGGGCCCCCGAGGCCCCCGAGGCCCCCGGGGGCCCCGGGGGCCCCCGGGGCCCCGGGGGCCCCCGGGGCCCCGGGGGCCTCTGGGGCCCCCGGGGCCCCCCGAGGCTCTGCAGCGCAGACTACCCCGCTAGTACCCCTGGAGTCCCCGCTGGAGGGGCCCCAGGAGGGGGCTCCCGAGGGGCCCCCCGAGGGGCCCCTTGAGAAGGCCCCGGAGAAGACCCCTGAGGGGCCCCCCACAGTTCGCTCGGAGGGGCCCCTGGGGGCCCCCGTGGAAGTGGCGACAGCAAACTGCTGCTGCGTGGCGCTGCTGCTGGCCACAGGGGGGGCCCCCAGTGCTGCAGAGGGGGCCCCCGGGGGGCCCCCCGAGAGGAGGGTACGGGAAGCAGGGGTTGAGGCCTCTCTGCTTAAATAAAAGACAGGAGAGAGGGGCCCCTCATCATCTCGGGCTTTTGCTGCTGCTGAGGGAGACCCCATTTGGGCCCTAGTGGTGTTGCTGCTGCTGGGGGCCCCCCAGCTCTTGCCCGCCGCCTCGGGGGGCCCCCCGAAGTCTGGGGGCCCCCTCCGCAGGGGGGCCCCCAGGGGGGCCCCCGAGGGGGCCCCCCCCGGGGCCTCCAGGGGGCCCCCTGCTGCAGCAGACAGCAGCCGCCCTTCGCATGCAGAAAGAACAAAAGTAAAATTGTCAATTGAGAGTTGCAGCTGCTTAAGTGCAGCAGACACGGCCCCCAGGCTGTCTGTACCCTCCAGCTGGGGCGTGGCCCCCTGGGGGGCCCCCAGGGGGCCCCCGGGGGGTCCCCCGGGGGGCCCCCCTGGGGGGCCCCCAAGGGGGAGGCCCCTGGAAACTCCTTGAAGCAGCAAAGTCCGCGCAATGACCTCGGAGCATTCGTGGAGACGCGGAGACAGCTGCTTCAGGGCCTGCAGCGCGCAGTGCTTCGTGCTGCTGCTGCTGCTGCTGCTGCTGCTGCTGCTGCTGCTGCTGCACAGCAGCCCCGCCTCCTCTGCAGTGCTGTCTCTCGTCTGCTCTCGCGTGTCTTCCGACGCGGCGCGAAGTGTCTCCTCCTGCATCTTTGCGTTCACCATGCTGCTGCTGCTGCTGCTGCTGCTGCTGCTGCTGCTGCTGCTGCTGCTGCTGCTGCTGCTGCTGCTGCTCTGGCTCTGCTGCTGCTGCTGCTGCTGCTGCTGCTGCTGCTGCTGCTGCTGCTGCTGCTGCTGCTGCTGCTGCTGGGGACAGCCAGCTGGTGAGGGCCTCCACCCCAAGGTCCCTCTTGCGCAGCAGTCGCAGTTGGAGCTGCGGGGCACGAGGGGCCCCCGGGGAGGCCCTCTTGGGGGCCCCCTCGGGGGGCCCCGCAGGGGGCCCCCCGGGGGGCCCCCAGGGGGGCCCCCTGGGGGGCCCCCCGGGGGGCCCCCACGGGGCTTGCCGGGGCCTCCGCAGGCGAAGCGTTGGGGGCCCTGGGGAGCCGGTAGTGGGCGGGAGAAGCTGCGGGACTGTTTGTGTGGAGGCCGGGTACTGGGGGGCCCCCCATGCTGGATTTGATTAAGTCATCAAGAGCAATTAAAGAAGGAGGAATTAAAGACTGTCTTCGTTTTGCTGCAGCAGCAAGATGGGGGCACTGCGGACTCAGGGGGCCCCCCACCTCCAGGGCCTTCCCCACAGCTTCTCGGAAGCAGTCCAGGTGCTGTTTGCCGGAGGCGCTGCAGGGGGCCCCCAGGGGGCCCCCCAGGGGGCCCTCCAGGGGGCCCCCCGGGGGGCCCCCCAGGGGGGCCCCCAGGGGGGCCCCCAGGGGGCCCCCGGGGGCCCCGGGGGCCCCCGGATCCACAGACAGGCTCTGGTAAGGCGTGGGACACAGCAGCTCCAGGTCCGCAGGGTACGAGGGGGGCCCCCAAGAGGCCCTTTTCTCCTCGGGGCTGGGGCTGGGGGCCCCCACGTCTGTCTCACTTTCTATTTCTTGAACAGAAAGGGGTACACTTGTTGCTGCTGTGTGCAGCGGCAGCGGCGGCGTGCTGCTGGGGGCCCTCGCGTGGCCGCTGGGGCCCGCATGCAGCTTCTGCAGAAGCCCGGGGGCCCCTGGCGCCCGGGGGGCCCCTGCTGCTGCTGCTGCGCCTCCTCCGGGGGCCCCCTCTTTCGAGGGGCACTGGGGGCCCCCAGGGGCTGCAGGGGGGGCCCCGGGGGACTCGGCTGTCAGCGCAGTCTCGAGGTTGCCCATGGTGGCGGGGCGGCGGCGGTTTAGGGTTTAGGGTTTAGGGTTTAGGGTTTGCGAGGGAAGAAGGCGAGGAGCGGGGGCCCGCCCGAGATCCAGGGGCGCTGAGACGCCAGAATTGAACTTAATTTGACTTTTTTGGTCTTTTTAATTCCCAGAAAATAATAAAAATGAAGAAAGAAGACAGCGCGAGGCAGCAGCAGCTGAGCGCCGGCGTAGTGGTCCGGCGGCAGGCTGTTCATACACCCCAAGCGGGGTGAGCCGCGCAGCGAATGGGGAGGGTGTCAGGAGCCAAATAAGCCTCTAAACCCCTCAAAAAACAAACTAGAAAGACAAAAATAGATTAAATAATAAACAGAAAGTGGAATCTAATTGAAAGGTCCGGCAAACACCGCACGACGGGCCGCTGGTGTACGTACAGTGGCGGCCCGCTGCAGCCGCCCGCTGCTGCAGCCAGTAGCGGGATTTGAAGCAAAATGAACCTAAAAAGGATAAATTTAACTCAATTAATTCATTTTTGTGGTTTATTTAAACTTATATTTAATTTTCAAAGCAGATTTGAAGAAGACAGGCTCAAAATAAGCCCTCACACCCCGCTGCGCCCTGCGAGCTGACTGGCACTGCTACCGGGTGAGCGCACTGACCAAAGGCGGTCTTTTTTGCCTTTTTTACAAATTCATTTAGTTTAGTTTAATTTATTTTAATTTATTTCAATTTCTTTTAAGTTTTAAATGCTTTATTTCTCCCCTTGCTGCTGCAGCAGCAGCAGCAGCGCCTCCGCCGTTTAGTGCGCAGCAGCAGTGAGGTCACCTGCTGCTGCTGCGCCCACGGGCAGAGAGCCCCCGCTTTGTTTATTTGTTTTTTAATGATTAATTTAAATAAATTAATTTCCCTTTATTTATTTTTAATTCGCCAGCCATTTGAAGTCTTTACAATCCTCTTTGCTGCTGCTGCTAGGGGCCTCTAGCAGCAGCAAAGAGGCATAAAGAGGCTCACTACACTTTGCCGCAGCATGCGCCAGAGATTAGGGTTTAGGGTTTAGGGTTTAGGGTTTAGGCCCTGCGGCGCAGGGTCTAGGGCTTATGCCCCAGGATTTAGGGTTTAGGGGCTAGGGCATACGCTTTGGGGTTTAGGGGATAGCGTGTGGGGTTTATGGCTCAAAGGTTAGAGGCTCAAGTCACTTTAGGGTTTAGGGTTTAGGGTTTAGGGCTTAGGGTTAAGGGTCAAGCGTCTCTGAATTAGGGTTTAAGGTCTAGACAAAGGGCACCTTCTTTGTCCCGCAAACGCATCTGTTTTCTCTTCTGAATTATCCGCCCACAAAGCATTTCTGTAGCCGTGGCTAGCTGCTGCAGCTAGCTGCCGCAGCTAGCTGCTGCAGCTAGCCACAGATGCCTCTAGCCGCAGCAGCTGGCTGCCCCTACCTGAGGCAGCAGCAGAGCCAAGTCAAGCCTCAGCAGGCCTTCCTAGGGGTTGGCTAGCTGCAGCTAGCTGCAGCTAGCTAGCTGTTTCTAGCTGCCGCTGGCTGCAGTTAGCTGCAGCTAGCTGCAGCTAGCTGGGCGTCAGCAAAGCCAGTGGCTAGCGAGGGCCAAATCTCTCCAGAAGTGGCTGCCTGTGGGCTAATATAGCTAGCTGGGGCCAGCTGTGGCTAGCTGTGGCTAGCCGTGGCTAGCTGTGGCTATCTTTGGCTAGCTGTATCTAGCTGTAGCTAGCTGTGGCTAGCTATGGGTAGCCGTGGCTAGCTGTGGCTAGCTATGGCCAAGTTTAGCTTGCTGTGGCTAGCTGTGGCTAGTTGTGGCTAGCTGCGGTTGCTGTGAGGGCCTGCAACGCTGCAGAAGTCGCAGACCCAAACCCTAAACCCTAAACCCTAAACCCTAAACCCTAAAAGCTAGGCCCTAAACCCTAAGCATCTTCTTCCCCTCCGCAACGCCGAAGCTCTCCTGGTAGCCTTTCACAGTCCCGCTGCTACTGCTGCTGCTGCTGCTGTTGTTGCCGTTGCTTCTGTCCGTGCTGCTGCTGCAGCTGCTATTCTTGCTGCTGCTCTTGCTCTTGCTGCTGCTGCTGCTGCCGCTGCTAGGCCGCTTTGTGCGCATCTATTTGGGCTTGCTCTCCCTTTGCTGCTCCCTTTTCAAACGGGGGAGCAGCAGCAGCAGCAGCAGCCACAGCAGCAGCAGCAGCAGCAGGACGAGCGGGAGCAGCAGGAGCAGCGAGGCAAGCATCATAAGCAGTAGCAGCAGCAGCAAGACAAGCAGTAGCAGCAGCAGCAACGAGACAAGCAGTAGCGGCAGCAGCAGCGGGACAAGCAGCAACATCTGCAGCAGCAGAACAAGCAGCAGGAGCAGCAGCAGTAGGACAAGCAGCAGCAGCAGCACCAGCAGCACCAGCAGCAGCAGCAGCAGCAACAGCAGCAGGAACAGCAAGAACAAGAGCAGAGGCCTGAAGGAGACTCACAACAGCAGCAGAAACAGCAGCAAGAGCTGCAGCAAAGCTCTGCAGCAAAAGCAGCAAAAAAAGCAGCAGCTTCTCTAATCTCCCGCGGGGACCACAGCAGCAGAGCTGGCTAGCTGAGGACAGCTCAGAAACCCGCAGCTAGCTGCAGCTAGCTGCAGCAAGCCATGGCTAGCTGCAGCTATCTGGGGCTGTGTGTGGCTAGCTGTGGCTAGCTGTCGCTGCAGCTAGCCATGGCTAGCTGGGGCGATCTATGGTGAGCTATGCCTGTTGTGGCCAGCAGGCAGCAGCAGCAGCAGCAGCAGCAACGGCGGCAGCAGCAGCAACAGCAGCAGCAACTGCCGATGGCTAGCTGGGGCTAGTTATGGCTAGTTATGGCTAGCTGTCGCTCGCCGTGGCTAGCTGTGGCTAGCTACGGCTAGCCGGGCCAGGGGGGCTCGCCAAGTTTCTCTTACGCTAGAAGCTGAAAACGCCAAACCCTAAACCCTAAACCCTAATTCGGAGTCTGGGGCTTGTTGCCGGACCAGTGCCTCTGCAGCAGCAGCAGAAGCAGCAGCAGCAGCAGCAGCAGCAGCAGGAGCAGCAGCAGCAGCACAGGGGCCCCTTTACAGAGAACCAGCAGCAAATATATAAAATAGAAAACAAACAGTTTAATAAAAGAAAATTAAAAATGAAAATTCTTTATTTCAATCCTTGAAACCCTCTATAGGCGCCAGGCGAAACCCTAGGCCCTAAACCCTAAACCCTAAACCCTAAACCCTTAGTAGACCCTGAAGCCTAAACCTAGTTTCGCCGCTTGTCTTGATGTCCCTTCTATTTTACCCTTTTTATTTTATTTTTCATTTTAAAAAACCCTAAACCCTAAACCCTAAACCCTCGAGGGTTTCAAAGTGCCGGCTGCGTCGCCCACTGGTCGGCTGCTGCACGGAAGCCCCAGTTGGGGTCCCACCGAACCCAAACCCTAAACCCTAAACCCTAAACCCTAAGCGCCAAACCCTAAACCCTAAACCCTAAATGTTGGAGCCCTAAATCACAGCGCCATGCCCCGAGAAGGGCTCTGCACAATGCAGCGGCTTCCCCGATTCCTAAACCCTAAACCCTAAACCCTAAACCCTAAGCCTTAAACCCTAAACCCTCAACTGGGATGTTTGGGGCTGGGTTTACGGCCGTAACTCTCTCGCCTTCTGGCTGCATGCAAAGGCTTCGAGTTGGCCCTCAGTTATTTTCCCCTGGGCTGCTGGGGGGCCCCCCAAAGGGGCCCCCAGGGGGCCCCCCGGGGGCCCCCTTGGGGGGCCCCCCCGGGGGCCCCCCAAATAGTTTCCTGGGGGGCCCCTTGGGGCGTGCCTTGAAGGGTTCTTCAGGGGCCCCCCAACAGGCCCCCTTGCGGGCCCTCCTGGGGGCCCCTAGAGGGGCCCCCCTGGGGGCCCCTAGAGGGGCCCCCCTTGGGGGGCCCCGCTTTCACCTTTCTGCATGCAAAGGGTTTACCTTTCGTGCCCCTCGCGTGGCCAGGGCTCGTTCTAACCTTGACAAGTGGCCGGGGGTCCCCCTGAGGGGCCCCCTGGGGGCCCCCCTGAGGGCCCCGCTGGGGGCCCCCACGGGGACCCCCCTGGGGGGCCCCCACGCCTGCCTGTGGGGGCCCCCAGGGTCGTTGCGGGCAATGACCCTGGGGGCCCCCCGGCTGGTGCTCAAGAGGGCCTGTAGGGGCGCTGAGGGGCCCCCTACTGCGCGGGGGGCCCGGGGGGGCCCCTCAGGGGCCCCCGAGGGGCCCCCCGGGGGCCCCTCGGGGGCCCCCGAGGGGCCCCCCGAGGGGCCCCCCGAGGGGCACGCAGGGTCTTCGGGGGGCCCCTGGTGGGCCCCGTACTTCCTGCTGCTGCGGCTGCATGCGCCTGTGGGGGCGTGGCTGCTGTACTGGCCGTGCGTGTTTTCAATTTGTTTGGCAACTCCCGTGTCTGCTGCTTCTCCAACAGCAGCAGCAGCAGCAGCAGCAGCAGAACTGCCTTCCAGCGGCAGCCTCTTGTGGGCCGCGCTGCGCCCCCCCGCGCCCGCAGACCCCGAGGCCCCCCCGCAGCAGCAGCAGCAGCAGCAGCAGGGGCCCCCCGGCGCCCCCAGCAGCAGCAGCAGCAGCAGCAGCAGCAGCAGCAGCAGCTGGGGGCGCGCAGCAGCGCTGCTGGCCCTCACTGCAGCAGGGTCTTTGTTGATGAGAAGTGCTGGATGTATTATAAATGACTTGTGGGACAAAAGACTGGACTTTAGGGTACAGAGGACCCGGGGGAGGCCCCTGGCTGCGGGGGCCCTGGGGGCCCCCGGGGCCCTGGGGGCCCTGGGGGCCCTCCTGGCCCCGTCTTTTTTGCTGCTGCTGCAGCTCAACTTTGCTGCTGCTGCTCTGGGCCTCCTCGTGCTGCTGCCTGTTGCTATTTATCCAGCAGCAAAACGTTTTTGTTCTCTTCCGCAGCTCTTTTTGGGCCTCACTTTCAGCTGGGGGGCCCTCATGGGCTGGGCCGCCCTTCTGGGGCCCTACGGGCTCCCGGCCTTCCTGGGGGGGGCCCCCCTGGGGGCCCCCCCGGGGGCCCCCCTGGGGGCCCCCCTGGGGGCCCCCCGAGCAGCAGCAGCAGATGCAGCAGGCGCAGCAGCGGCAGGGCCGGACTTCGACCCGGAGTCTGCAGCAGCAGAGACGCAGACAGCTTCTCCAGCAGCAGCAGCAGCAGCAGCGGGGCCGCCCGCAGCAGCAGCAGCAGCAGCAGCAGCAGCAGGGGGGGGCTGGCTGCCCGCGTCCGTGCGGGCTGCTCCCGTGTGCCTCTACCTCGGCTGTGCCCTCTGGACTTTGACTTATGACACCATTTATGCTTTTCAAGACTTCAAAGATGATTTGAAAATCGGAGTTAAGTCCTCAGCCGTCACTTGGGGCCCCCGGGGGGCCCGCCTCTGGGGTACCCTGGCCATTCTCGCCCAGGGGGCCCTCTGGGCCCTCGCGGGGGCTGCCCTGGGGGCCCCTGTGGGACCCTCAGGGGGGCCCCCATGGGGGCCCCCAGGGGGACCCCCAGGAGAACCCCATGGGGGGGCCCCCGGGGGCCCCTCAGGGGGGCCCCCTGGGGGGCCTCGTGGGGCCCCGGCTGCCGTACTTTGTGGGCATTGCTGTGACCTGTGGGGCCCTCGCTGGCCTCCTTTGGACCACAGACTTCTCCAATGGGGCTGCATGCGCCAGGGCCTTCAAGGCCAGCCACCCCTTGGGGGCCCTTTTTGCACTTTCTATTATTGCCAGCAAAGTTTGGGAGTACAAACTGGCCCAAAAGCTCTCGCAATGACCCGCAGAGGGGGGCCCCTAGGGGGCCCCTAGGAGGCCCCCAGGGGGCCCCTCTAAGGGCCGGCTTTGAATGGGGGCCCAATGAGGGCCCGAAAAGGGGTTTATTGGGGCCTCATGAGGGGCCCCAGTGAACCCACAAAAGGTAAGGGCTAATTAGGGTTTAGGAAGGGCCCCTTGGGGCTCTTCTTAAACCCTCATTGGGGCCCCACAGGGGCCCCACAAGGGCTCCTCTAGGGTCTTTTCTCGGGCCTTTTAAAGATGCGTCTGGGGTTTTAGGAGGAGCCCCAGAACTGGGGTCCCACAGGGGCTCAGAAGAGGTACTGGGGGGCCCCAGGGCCCCTGGGGGCCCCCCGCAGCTGGGGCCCCTCTCTGGAGGTAGGGGGCCCCTCGTGCCCCACGACCCCTTGGTGGCCCCCAAAGGCTCTTCTAATTTGAGGCCTTTTTTAAGTCTTGTGGCCATTTGGTTTCGCCTTAGGGGGCCCCCTGGGGGCCCCCCTGAAGACCCTCTTTTGGGGCCCTGTGAGTGCTCTTTTTGGGGGCCCCCTGAGGCTGTCCTGGGGCCTCAGGGGGCCCCACGGGGGCAGTCTGTACTGTGGCGTTTTTAGCTTTGCTGCATTTGTGCTGCTGCTGCTGCTGCTGCTGCTGCTGCATTTCAATCTTTGAAAAGCAGCAAACAAGTGGGTTTGGAAGGCCCATAAATGCGCATTTAAATTCCTTTTAATGCACTTGTTCTAAAATGCATTAAGGGTTTCTTCTGCATGCAGAGAGGGCCCCAAAATGCAGCGCCAAGAGGGAAGATTCCCTTACACGTACGCAAATGCATGCGAGCATGCACGCGCGCATGCGCGAATAAACGTTAATAAAATATTTATTTATTTATTTATTTATTTTATTTATGTATTTATTTATTTATTTACCCATTCATTTCGTGTGCAGACATATATATTAGCTGGCCGCATACAGACGCATGGGGAGATCTGAAGTCTTCTAGTTAAAAGATTTGTCAAATATATATATATATATTTATATTTATATATATATTATTTATATGTATGTATATACAGTTGCATATATATTCATATTTATATTTATAAATATAAATATGAATATATATGCAACTACAGTTGCACATGGCACAAATGAGCGCGAGCTAAGCCTTGATGAAACAACTGAAGATTAAAGAGCATTGCGCACTTTCGACAAAGTAAACGCAGGCGCAGGACTCGCGAGCGTACCAATACATCGTTTTTCAACTTTCATAACTTTCTTAACAAGTTGAAAACAAGTTGAAAACAAGTTGAAAACAAGTTGAAAACAAGTTGAAAACAA